ATTCTGTCTTGTAGTCCAGGAGGTTTTTCCTAGATGTGGTTGACGTCATGGAGCCCATCTCTCACGTGCAGTCATGGAACATGTTCTTAGCTCTCCAGTGGTGGAGGATGTTCCTTTATGCTGCTTATTGCAGCCCTTTGCTGTCCTTCATGCTCGTGGCCCATCTAACCCAGATTTCCTCTTAGTGTGATCTGTTGCATTGTCAGGGCACAGAGTTCAGCACCCATGAGACTCTGTAAAAGTGCCTTTGGGTGCATCTCAGAACAGATGAGTCACTGGGATGACATGACTTTGAGCTGTTGCCCAGAGCGTATTAGTACAAATTCTATCTCCTGGATGAAGGTTGGAACAGAAGATCTGTGCCCTTGCTTGAATTGGTGGAAGGCTGCCCACTGCTTTGATGCAACTGAGGACCAGCTGTGGAACTTGTTATCTCAGATTATCGTGAGGATGGTTGAGGATGGTTTCTGACTGCAGATCTGGACTGTGAATTAGTTCCTAAGCGTATCTGCTCTGCAGATCTTCCCAGATCTGATTTAAGAGATTTACAAGCTGCCTTGTGGAAAAGCCAAAAAATATTTTGTCCAGAACTCACCACTCACTCACTTTCTCCTTGTGTTTAGATGAGTCTTTGTGTGTTCCAGGACAATCGGGACCATCTAAGATAGGTGCTTTGAACATTGCCTGATTTCTAAGGATCTTGAAAAAACCCAAACCAGGCTGATAAATGGGAACAAAAGCAGAATCTTGAAAGGAAACTTATCTCCACGTTGCCTGACAAGGCCCAGAGAGAGGGTGTGTGAAACAGCAGTTTGGGAACTCCCACAGAGAACGGAATAAAAGGGTTTAATCTGAGGCCAAGCTACAAGGGTTAATGCTCCTTTCACTGTGTAACTTTGTGAGGGTCAAGGCAAATAAGTGTGGAGTGGAGTTCCAAGCACCAAGGAGCTACACTCTGTGTTTGCCATCCTGGCTGAGTCAACAACCTGTCCTTAGTTGCAATTTTTGACGTGTAAAATGGGCTTTTTAAGCAGCATGTTCCTGAGAATACCAGTAACTTTAAATGGCCTGTACCCCTAGGCAATGGGAAGGAAAATGAGGGTAAAACCACTGAGAAATGTTGGAAATGACTTATGCAAACCTTTTTGTTTGCCTTACTGTGGGTTAGGAGAGTGCATGAGGGCCCTGTAGCGTGTCAGACCTCAGGCAGTGGTAGCTCCAAGCTGCAGGAGCAGTCCTAAGCATGCTCTAATTGTTTTTCCAGAATTACCCAGAGATCAAACCCTGAAAAGCTTCACAGTCCAACACGCCTTCAACCTTTTGTGAGGCCTAATCCGTGACTTCTTTTTGCTCCAAATTGCCATAGGTGTGAGAGTTGCAGCTTCCTTGGGCAAGGTCGGAGGTGCAGGACAACAACTGGAGAGCTGCCCAAGTCAATTTAAGGAGAGGTGAGGGTTGGCGTGTCCTCACTTGCTGCTGGAGCTGCCTGCAGGCTTTAGTTATTGAGCTGGGAATACTCCCATGTTGTGGGGAATGGTGCTGAGGGCTGGAGACCTCTTGGAGTTCTTTCAGCTGGAGGAGGATGTTGCCTTGGTGCTACCTTGGCTGCTTGCTGCAAGCTCCACTGCTTCATGGGGGTCATCTTTAGTGGTAGCACCAAGACCAAGCAAGTGTGGGATATAGTGTGTCCTTAAGTGAAACCTGACTCTGTCCCTTCACTTCTCTCCCTCCTCCATCTGCATCCCCTTCTGATGTTGGTCTCTGGGGAAGCCAGCCTTTGGTCTGGGTTTTGCTTTTTGAATAGTTTCAGTGAAAAAAAACCACAAAAACAAAAGTCAAACCAAAAATGCTTCTACCTCTGTCATGCCCTGACTGTCGGAGAGCGTGTTGAAACAAACCCTTGCTTAGAAAATAATTACTAGTCCCTGGTGCCTGAGAGAGTGTTTAAAGCTGAGGGTTGGTCCTGCACGGTCGTGTGCCCGTGAGTCATTCTGGGATGGGGTGGGTGAGCATTGGACCCTCTCACCTGTGACTGGTTTTGCTTGTGCTTCCCTTACTGCTCCATCTCCTGCTCGGCGGGGTTGGCTTCGCCTTCAATTAGGCTAATGAGAGGTGAAACCAAAGTGGGGGAGTTTCCACTTGCACTTTGAGTCATCATGAAGTCTCATCAGGGAGCGAGGTGCCTTTTCTGTATTCATAAAAAAGCCCCAACAACCCGACATTGGAGCTTGGTGGGGGGGTTGCACATCGCAGGGGATTTCGTACGAAGGCAAAAAGGAATTTGAAATTATTGGTAAAATTTGATCAAAGAATATGCAGCCAGTGAAGGATTTATCTCTGCCTGGCTCGCCCAGTGCTTGGGACTGATTGAGCAAAGGGCCGAGCTGTGGAGCTGTCAGGCCGTGGTCTTGAATGTGTTTGAAATCCCTTGTAGAGCAGCCGTCCTCCTACTGCTTTTAGTCCCCTTATCTAATTTTCAGCTTCTCCACTCCGTGTAAATGTGATAAATAAACTTTGTAATCACATAACTGGGCTACTTCTGATGCCTGCCTGCAGATAGCTTGTTCTGCAGGCGAGATCACACAGAAGCATAAATCAACACTTTGCTCAATAAAAGACTTCATAAAAAAATGCCTTTTGGTCTTTCATTGTGCAGCTGACCTGGAGGACTTGGTTGGCTAAGTCTTTTTATCAATGCTAATGTGATAAACTTCTCTGTACAGCTCCTAGGAAAGGAGAGTCTTGGGTGTTTCTGTCTCCAAGTACTGGACTTCAGGAGCTTCTCCAAAGAACAGCTGAGGTTTAATAGGTTTTATATAAAATGCTGAATTAACCAAATTACTCGTTACAATGAACTCTGAGGATATAAATAATGCTGACCTTGTCTTGTGGGGAAGGAGAAGGAGCAGGAGTGTGGGGAGGAGCATAAATCACTGGGTGAAAGCAGAAGCAAAGGGCGAATTGTGTATTCTCCATTGCACACTTGATGCCAAAAACTCTTATTTGAGCAAAAGGGATATTTGGGAATGTCAATATTGTGCGTTGGGTTTTAGCAGTGGGTGGGCTGGGGTGGAAGGTTCATTTTTAGGGAAGGAGGACTGAAATGTTGAAGCAAAGTCTGTGCAGGGTGTTGGGGAGAGCAAACTTGTTGAATGCTGCATTTCTAAACATAACTTATGTATTTTTTTTAAAATGACCAGGAATTGAGTGGAAAAAACTCAAGATTCTTGGGCCCTGTTTCCTGTGCTGATGGTGAACTTTGTCAGACAAACCTCCGACAAATTGTTTTCTCTGATAACCAGTTAACACTGAGAAAGCAGATAAGCAAAAACTCTTATCATCTTGACAAGCGACAGGCTTTTTGTTCAAACTCAAACCAGAAGCTGTGTCAGTGTGTTGAGTTTACACCTTGCAATAATAATCCCTGCTTTTATCTGATCGGAGGGGGATTTTATAACTTTCAAATGAGCCTTTGGCGGGGAGCCAGCCCGACTGTCATTTTTTATTAACTTTCTTTTTTTCTTCTCCTGTAGCCAGTCTGCTTTTTTGTCATATTTTTAAAGGAATATGTATCCCATTCCTAGGGATATTGGGAAACGATATTTTAAAGTTCTGTGTCTCAGCCCATTAGAGGGCTCTATAAAACAATCGCAGCAGCAAATGTGCAGTAACTAATCAAAACCACCAAAGCTAACCACAGCAGTACTTCAAGCCCTTTTAAATAATACAGCTTCTTTTTTTTGCTCTGCCTTATCTACTGTCTCATCAGGAAAGAGCTAATTATATTATTCTGAAAAGTAAATATTGTCAGTTCGTTGGTGGGTGGGGTGACGGGAGGTGAGACACACACACTGTCAACATTGGCAAAACGATGCAGAAAACAAGGCTAAGTTATAAAAACCCTATAAAAAGCTGTTTGAGTTTTAAAGGAGCTCATTCCCCATGTAGGTGGTATAACAGCTTTCCCTCATGGCTTCTGTAGGCAGAGCCTGGAGGGATCCATGACCTCCTCCATGTCATTCCCCAGCTTGGCTACACAGGTTGGGCTTGCAGTTCTGGGGCTGTGCTCTCTTGATCACAAGCAGTCAAGTTCCTTTGAAAAACTCAACAATTTAAAATTCAGCTGCGACTTGTCACTAGTGTTTTTAAGCCAAGATGTTGAATTTCTCATGCACATTAGGTCTGTGCGCTTGGTCAATTGGTTTAGCTTGGTTGAGTTGGAACGGATGATGAAGGTGAAGCCACTGCTCCAAAGCTTGCAGGATGGACTGGGAAGTATTGAGGATTTGTATTTAGGACTTCTTGCATGAGAAGCTTGAGGAGAAGAGCCCCAAAGCCATGAACACTTGATTTAGTGGCATACTGTAAAGTAAAGGCAGCAGATGGCTGGGGAGAGAAAACATGTAATGAAGGTGGAAGAGCTTTTATCCCCTCATTCTTTTTATTCTGTTTCCCAAGGAACACAGCAAAAAGAGATCTATACTTCTGGCTACTTCCAGCCAACAAAACCTACCAACTGCTTAGTTACGGAATCACAGAATATTAGGGGTTGGAAGGGGACCTTCAAAGATCATCGAGTCCAACCCCCTGCCAGAGCAGGACCAAAAACACCAACCAAAAACCAAAACAAACTAGGGCAGATCACTCAGAAAGGCATCCAGATGGGTCTTGAAAGTCTCCAGAGAAGGAGACTCCACAGCCTCTCTGGGCAGCCTGTCCCAGGGCTCTGTCACCCTCACAGTAAAGAAGTTCTTCCTCATGTTGAGGTGGAACTTCCTGGGCTTGAGTTTGAATCCATTGCCCCATATCCTATCACAGGCCACAAGTGACAAGAGCTTGTCCCTGCCTTCTTGGTGCCCTCATGTATTTATAGACATTAATTACATCCCCCCTCTCTAGACTGAAAAGCCCCAGGTCTCTTAGCCTTTCCTCCTAGTAGTGGAGGTGAAGGTCTCCTAGACTGATTGCCAGCCCTGTTCTGGTTATAACAGCAAATGTAGGTGATTGACCTCAGCCCAAACCTGGAGGTAGAAAGCTGCCTTTGCTCTTTATACCAACCAGCCTGGAAACAGTGTTGTTGTCAGGGGGACTGGGATTTCTGCAGTGTCAGAGCAGGGTGTTCCTGTGCTGTGCGGAGGCTGCCAGACTCATCAGGTGGATGGGGAAGGTGGCTGTGCTTGGAGGGAGCTTTAGCTACGTGAACCAAATGCTTTGTGTGTTATGGCTAAATGTAACGTTTGCTAAGAGACTTCTGGTTTCTTACCTTTTTTTTATTATTGTCACATTAAGCATAGAGAGTCAGAAGACTGACAGTCTGGTATAACAGAGGCAATTTTACAGAATAATACAAAAGTGCACTTGCTTTCATGTAGACCACACCAAAAGGTAAGGGGGATTTTAAGTTTTTTTTTTTTTATATATTTTTTTTTGGCTTTTTGCCTTCCCTGTAGCCCCAGGTCCTTCCATTTGCAGAGGGCAGGCTGGAGTGTCACCTGTGCTTTGATGTGGTTGCTCAAGTGTGCCTCTTCCTTGGGCTCCCTGTAGATGCCTTTATGTGAAACAGAATGTTGCAGTCCGAACCTGCCCGCTCTGCGGGTCATTTTTCATCCTTCATGTGCCACAGCAAATATATTGCTGAGTTGTTCTGCCTCACCCCCAGCCTGGGAAGGTGTGGGTAACGAGATGGGGGTAGGAGAGGGGAGTTCCTTGGCGGTTAAGCCCAAATTTCTCCTTAGTTGCTTCCTCTGGGCCTCTCCCCAGCTCTTTCTTTCTCTCAAGGTGAAACTGAAACCTCGGTGACTTCACCCAAGCCTGCCGAAGTTAAAGAAAATTTGATATTTCTCACTTCTAGGTCACTTCAGTCCAGATTGTTTCCTGCCAAGGGGGCGGGGGAAATGCCCTCCTGGTAATGGAAAAGCAATTACTATTATTCCTGGCGTGCACGTTGTGTTGTTCCAGCCTAACACCAAGGCCATGGATGGGCCGTGCCCATCACAGGGCAGAGCAGCAGCCGCGCGGGATGGGAGTTACGTGCTGTGGCTGTAGTGGAAAGGAATAAATACCAACTGGGGCACTCTGGGGCTGCTTACTGGCTTTAAGGTAGAAATTGCTGGAAAATCTCTTCTAATTTAGAAGGTTTTTTACCCCTCAAATTCTTAAAATTCCTAAAGGAGTTGCTCGTGGTGGGCTGAAAAGCTTCTAGGCCACTGGAAGCACCTATGGCTTCTTTTTGTTGATCTCTGGGAGGTGTGGCACATGTTATTTCCCCCCTCTTTTTTTTCTTCTCCCACTAGGTCCCTGGACATGAATTCATGTGAAAATTTTTCTCTTGATTAACCTCAGTTTATTTGCATTGAAAGTAGGCAAAATGTGGTGCTTGAGCTTGTATATTAAGCTCCTTGGCCTAGAGCAGCAGCTTTATCTAGAAGGATGGACTTCCTTGACTTTGGGGTTTTCTCAATACCAATGTTTATCACCTCTTACCAATATTTGATTTGGATCTTCCCAATATTGACATCTGGCAGTAGGTGCTATGTACTACTGTGCTTCTCCTGTGAGCAGAGCTGAAGGATGACCTTGATACCTCTAGTCTGAAAGAGATGGAGGGCCAGGATAACGTGTCTTCTGAGCACATGTCTGGAGGGTCCTCTGGTGAGACTCATCCTGTGTTTAGCCTCAGATGCTGAATATTACATGCTCAGAGCTTCAGCAGTGAAGTTCAGCCCTGGTGGCAGCGTCCTTTGGGTTATTAGCCCAGATTTTTCCTCTCCCATGACCACTTTTGCTGCTCTGATCTTGCTACACCCTGTTTAATGATCCGTTTCAAGCACAATGTTTTATCCAAAACTTTGCATTTTCCCAGTCTTTGATTTCTTCCCTTTCTAAAGGAAGAAAGATTACATAAATTTGAGAGATTTTAATGAGTACTGGGCTTGCTTTTGGTGTAATTTACAGTGGATTCAGAGTTATAACTTTATTACACTTCAGTTGGGTAACTTATGTCATAAATGGGTGTATCTGAGAGTGGAATCGAGCCTCGAATCTCTTTGTTGTGTGGGCTTCAGAAGGACCAAATGCTCACTCCCCTTTTTGAAGTCCTAATTCTCTTTCTGTGATGTTGCAATGTCTTTCTATAGAGTCATGCCTCTGAAGTTCGAGATTTCTAATGCAAAAAACACCACTTTCCCCCCTCCCCCCCCCCCAGTTGCTTCAAGTATTGACATTGCGAGCAAAATTTGTCTTCAGCAGCGTTCACACAGACCTTTTCCTGTGGCTTGGTTGCAAAAATCCCTATTGTTGAGACTCATCCCTTAAGAGGTCTTTTTAATAAGCTTGGTTGGTCGTCCCCTTGCTCAGCTGTTGCTTCTCTTGTAGGAGCTCTTGTCGTAAACATCAAGGAACTACTACTGCTTTTCAACCACTAGAGGTCAAGATTGAGCCATGACATAGCACAGGGCTGCTTGTCTTGTAAGGTTTAGCTTAAATTCCTGCTGCAACCACGTCCAGTGTGAACTATATGTATTTAATTTAACTATCTGTTGCCATTTTTTTGTAATTAAGATGAAGGCGACTTTATATCCACGCTATGAAGGGCGTTTTACCTCACCCAGTGACAGAGCTTGTTGGATTTTGCAGAGGTTGGGATATCTGTGCTGTGCTTGGGGTTTAATGTTCTTCAGATCTAGAAACTACACAAGTGATCAGACTCTGACAGGGTCTTTCTTCCCAAAAAGGGATTCAAAAGGGACTTGAGCTGAGAGAGGCCGTCAAGCTAAAACTTGCTCATAAATTATTTTTGTGTCTTCTGAATACTTCTAGGTGTTTAAAAGGAAATAATTTGGAAGGTTTGCCCTGCAAATAGAGCTTTCTACTTTCTGCAGTTCAGGTGGCAAAAGCTACAGTTAATTTTTTAGGTTTTGTTGCTTTAATTCTCCATTGTTTCCCTAGCATAGTTGGTTTCACTGACAACAGTGTCTAGAGGATGGTTCCCAGTATGACTTCTTTCTTCTGAAGTCCAGCTGTTGTGGTAGCAGGGGGCAAGGGGTGGTCCCTCTTGCCACCTCGTTTGTCTTCTGTTGTAGGAGAGCAATTAAAATACAGGAGTGCAGATTCGATTTGAGGTGAACAGGTAATTACTAGAAATAGAATTGTAGGTTCATGGAATCAGTTTAGTTGGAAAAGACTCTTAAGATCACCAAGTCCAACCCTTCACCCAGCCCTGCCAAGGCCACCACTAACCCATGTCCCTCAGCTCCACATCTACAGGGCTTTGGAATCCCTCCAGGGATGGAGACTCCCCCCTTGCCCTGGGCAGCCTGGGCCAGGGCCTGACAAACCTTTCCAGGAAGAAATTGTTCCTAAAAGAGTATATAGATTTTGTTTTAATAACTGACATTTTATAAAACTCATTCTTTTTTGAAAACAAACCTGTCCTCGACAAGAACACTTTCAGAAAGTCATCTGCATGATTTCCATACACCTTCCTTCTTATATAGAAAATAATTCTAGAAAAATATTGGAGGGGCACTTGGGGCACAAACAGTGTCTCTGTGCCATTCCCTCTCCTTGCCCTTTTCCTTCCTTCAGTTAGAAGTTTTTGATCAACGCTTGGAAACTATTTGGCTTAAATAATTTTCCTGTCAAATAGTGTGCTGGGTAACAATGAGGAAACCAAGTGAGTTTTTGCAGCAGAGCAAATGCATTGACTTCCACTGCAAACAAACCCCAAAGCCCCAAGGAAAGGCATGAACCAGCAGTTTGAGGGAGCTCCACCAAGCTCATGTGTTTTGGTCCCTGAATCGTGCTGCTTCTCCCAGGGAGCAAATTTTGGTTCAATACCTTTCACAGCTCATTCTGTACATCAGCAATGTACAATTAAGCTCTCCTGGGGTACCACAAAAATGCTTTCAGGAACCTCTGGGGTCCAGATGTGGAATGTTTTGTGCTGACATGGGTTGAAAAGAGGAACAAATCCAACAGTTAAGTACGTCCTTTAATTTAGCCTGTGACAGTCACCACATGGCCTATGGACTAATATTTCTGCATCTGTGCTGTAAATAGATCAATATGGCAGTATGATGGGTTTGGCATTTTGATTTGTGAAGAGTCAGAATATTGCTTGTATTGTTGCATAATCCCTGGAATGGTTTTGAAATGAATCTTCTGTTTCCTTGGAGTATCTGGGTCAGAAAAACCATAACGTTTCTAAGTTCCATTAAGTGTGTGTTTTATTTTGTCTCATTTGTCATATTTCATGACTGATTGCATCTCTTTGCTGGAAAAAAAAAACCCCACACAAATCCGAGGATGCTGTTGTAAAAGGTGAAATCCGATTATTATTATTTTTTAAATTTATTCTAGGCACAGCAGCAAAGGAACCTGGACAATATTGTATCACAGCATCCCAGGATAAGCGGGGGGAAGAAGTCCAAGAAAGAAGTCTGCGCAAGCTCAGAGCTGGAGGTAAAAAACACTAGCCCCATGTCTGAGCAGGATTCGGGTATTCTGGATGTTGAAGATGAGGATGAGGATGAAGAGGTAACTGTATAACATCAAATCCAGCAGACTGGTTGGTTTGGGGGTGATCAGTGGTGTCTGGGAGGGTGTTGGCACCTCGCTCACTCTTTCAGGTTGCCCTGCAGAACAGGCTGCAGCATGTGGGGGGGTTTAAGCTTTGGGTTGTTTTCTGGGCTTGTCCCTATTCTTGTTAGCAGGCTCAGCAGAGAGGTAGGGTATTGTATGAGAACACGTTAGCCCTTGTCTTCTGTTCTCCTGCACTTCTGTGCTTGCTTGGCAGTACAATTTGGTATCTAGCCTTCATTTAAAGAAAAAAAAATTGCTGCACAGCACATGAGTTATTTGATCCCTTCTGTGACTTGGTGGCAGATACACACTTGGTGTTGAAAAGGTTTGCATCGGGACAGAAGTGTTAAATGCAACTTGAATTCCTTGATGTCCTCCCTTCTCTTTGTCTCCCTTTCTGCTGCTGCTTCCTCAGATGGGCAGTTTGGTTTTTTAACTGCAAAGCACAACCTTGCTGGTGGTGTTGGTTCTTCTCTCCTCCCTGTGCTAGAGGATGGTGAATGCAGTGGGACAACTTGAATTGGTGGTGCTTAAAATGCAGAAGAGTCCTGTCCTTCTGTGTTTCAGGAAAGGCAGTTTGGAGATACCTACTTGGAGCATAGGTCACGAGGTGTTGAGGTCCTTGATGTGTGTGTTTGTCATTCCTTGTGGCACAGTCTTGCCTTAGGAAGTTTTACTTGCCGTTCTGGATGCTTCTTCTCCTTTCAGCTACAACCTGTAACTGAATTGAGGGGTATTTGTTGCCCTCAAGTCTATGACCAGCCAGAGAAGAGGATGAAGAACAAATTCCTGAAGTTTAAAATAGTGTGGGTTGCCCAAGTGGTTCTGTGCTCATGTTCTGCCTTTCTCCCTGTTGTGATTTTGTTCAATTGTCTCCTTGTCCTCTTCTCTGCCCTCCCCAAGCAGAGTGAGGAGGTCACCACGTACTTCACAGGAACCAAACTGTAGGGTATTCACCCTACAGAAACCATCTGGGTGGGCTATTTACTCCTACATCAAAACGTAAATAGAGCAGAAGCTACACAAAAGAAAAATGAGTGGGAAGGGCAGGTTTTTCTGAAAGCAAGCATTGATTTGCATAGATTTATTTTGGCATTTCCTTGTTAAAAAATAAATCTGGTCCTTCACTAGTTCTTGTTCCATCTCAGAATGGTTGGACTTGATGATCCATCCATTAACAGTTGGACTTAATGACTGAACCAAGGCAGAGTCTCTTCTCCCAAGGAATAAGTGATAGAGTCCCCATCCCTGGAGAGATTTCAAAGCTGTGTAGATGTGGTGCTGAGGGACATGGTTTGGTGGTGGCCTTGGCAGTGCTGGGTTAACAGTTGGACTTGATGTTCTTAAAGGTCTTTCCCAACCAAAATGATTCTCTGGGTCTATCTCACTCTTAAAATACCTCACTTCTGTTGAGTGGGCTCTTGCAGAACTGGGCAGCAGTGTGAAACGTGGTGGTATTTGTGGGGCTGGCAAAGGTGGAATCCACTGGAATGAGAAATCAGAATCAAATTTGAATTAAAACTGGAAGGTGGAGTGGTTTTAGTTTAGCAGGCATAAATGCCATGCAGCTGTCACTCACTCTTCCCTGCATCCTAGGGAGTGGGGAAGAGAATTGGAAAGGTAAAGAGACTTGTGGGTTGAGATTAAAACAACTTAGTAATTGAAATAAAATAAAAATAATGATAATAAATATACAAACAAGTGGTGCACAGTGAAGCTTCTCACCGCTCTTTGACCAGTGCCCAGCCCATCCCTTACTAGTGAACCTGGAGGAGAGAAAATCCCAGAACCACAATCCAGGAAGAGCAAGAGCTTCCCTGGCAACCCTCATCTGATAAGTACTGAGCATGACCTTGCATGATATGGAATGTTCCAGTGGCCAGTTTGGACCCTGGCTCTGGCTGTGCTCCTTCCCAGCTTCTTCTGCACCTGCTTGCTGGTGACTCATGGCAAGTTGAAAAGTCCTTGATTTCTCAGCAACAGCTAAAAACATCAGTGTATTTTCAGCAGCTCCTCATACCAAATCCCCTGCTAAGCCCAAACTTAGTGTTGTTGTAGCTACTAAGAAACAAATTAGACCTGTCTCAGCTGAAACCAGGACAAAAAGCATAGGGAAAAGTATAAGGGAAGATTTTACAACAAAAGGAAGCAGCCTTGAGTTGTGCCAGGGGAGGTTTTGATTGGATCTTGGGAACAATTTTCTAAGGGAAAGGGCTGTCAGGCCCTGGCCCAGGATGCCCAGGGCAGGGGGGAGTCCCCTTCCCTGGAGGGGTTTCAGAGCCATTTAGATGTGGTGCTGAGGGACATGGGGCAGTGGGGGCCTTGGCAGGGCTGGGTTGAGGGTTGGACTCAATGGTCTGAAAGTTCTCTTCCAATCCAAATGACCCTGTGATTCCAAAGCCAAGGGCTCGTGTTGCACAGTTGGGAGAAGCCTCTCAAGTTGTTTAACAAAGGGAATGAGCTGGGCTGGGGGCAGATGAAATCCCCTCGGTGGGGGTGTTTAAAGCCGGGCTGGGAGGGAAGGGAGCGAAGTTGCAGGAGGGGATGGCATGATGGATAAGCTGGCAGGGGGTGGTGGGGACTGAAGGAGGGGCCTTTTTTCCTGCTCTGCTCCTGGAGGCCTCTCCTCCTCTGCTGCCTGGGGGTGTCTTAGGGGTAGGGAAGAGGAGAAGAGGATTTTGGTTCCTGATGAGCTTCGCTCTTCCCCATCTTCCTTCCTTCTGGATTTATTTATTTATTAATAAATAATAATAATAATTTTTTTAAGAAAATGGCGTGTTTATTAGTAGACATGGATATTCTCGTCTGAAATGAGAAATAGAGCCATTACATTTTCAGACCCCTTGCTATGTGAAGAACATTGAGGTGCTGAAGTGTGTCCAAAGAAGGGCAATGAAGCTGGTGAAGGGTCTGGAGCACAAGTCTTTGGAGGAATGGCCAAAGGACCTGGGGATGTGGATGTGAATGTGAGAGGCGTGAGAGCCTGGCCCAGGTTGCCCAGGGAAGCTGTGGCTGCCCCATCCCTGGCAGTGTTGAAGGGCAGGTTGGATGGGGCTTGGAGCAGCCTGGGCTGGTGGGAGGTGTCCCTGCCCATGCAGGGGGGTTGGAACTAGGTGATTTCTGCAGTCCCTTCCAACCCAAACCAGTCTGGAATTCTGTGATTGTTTAGCCTGGAGAAGAGGAGGCTGAGGGGAGACTTTCTTGTGCTCTACAACTGCCTAAAAGGGGGTTGGAGCCAGGGGGTTCAGGCTTCTCTCCCAAGTGATAGGACAAAAGGAAATGGCCTCAATGACTTGGTGATCTTAAAGGTCTTTTCCAACGTAAATGATCCTGTGATTGTAAATCTGAAGGAGTGTCATGTGTGTGTAGTGGATTGACCCTGGCCAGTGGCTGGGCCCACTGGCACTTGCTCACTTTCCCCCTGCCCCCCAGAGACAACATGAAGGGCAAAAGTGAGAAAGCTTGTGAGTTGAGGTAAAGACAGTTTAATGCTGTGTAAGCACTAGTTGGCAACAGCTAAAACTCTGGTGTGTTATCAACACTGGTTTGGTCACACTTCTAAACCGCAGCACCCTGTGGGCTGCAGTGAGGAAAATGAACTACAGCCCAGCCCAAACCAGTACTGAGTGTGAAATGTTAATGGGGGAATCTTTGCTAAAGGGTGTCCAATGTTACAGGCCAGCTGAAAAGTTGTTTTTCATGATTGACAGATTCCTTCTTAGCTTTCTCATGGTGCTTACGTGGTCTGTGCACGAGTAACATTAACACAGAATTTGAGTCTGCAAAGTTAATTCTCATTGTTTAAAAGTGTTGGTGTTAAGTACCCTGGCTACAAGGGAACTGCATCTTGTTTCCTACACAGCTCCCATCTTCTGGAGCACTGGAGAAGACATTCTGGTCTTAGAGGGACAGTACTGCAACAAGTGGGCATGTGTAGTTTGCTGTGCTCTGCCTGTCACTGCGGTTGCTGAGGTTTATACCTCTCAAGAAAATATGGAATCCTGCTAACAAGGAATTCTGGATGAGGCAGAGGTGGCCCCTTGTGCAATAAAGTCAGTAGACAAGTGGAGGAATGACCCTGGAGCATCCAAAGACCTCACAGAATCATCTTGGTTGGAAAAGACCTTAAAGATCATAGAGTCCAACTGTCAGTGGTTGCCAGGCTCACTGGTAGCTCTTGCTTTTGACCTCTCACAGCCCTTAATGTCAACCAGTAGCCACAGGTTTCTGTTTGTAGGACAGCTAGTGCTGACTGGTTGCATATGGAAAGGGAGTAATGCAGGGTGCCTTGCACCCACTCCTGCTCAGAGCTGAGAACTGGGTGGTCCTGGGTGTTTCTGATTAAGTTTAGGCAGGAGAGCTCCTGATCTTGCTGTGTAGGCTTGAAAAGGTGGAGTGTGTGTATATATATATATATGCATATAATTATATATATATTATTTCTCTAGTAAATATCTGAGGCCCTTCAGCAGGCTGTGTTATAGATTTCTCCATTTAAATGGGATGGACTGTTCTGGAGAGCCATAATTCCTTACCCATGTGGAGCAATCCCTTCATCCCTGCAGCAAAATTCACAGGAAAAGCTTTGAAAGGGAAGAAAGAGCAGAAGGGTTTTGCTTATTCCGTTGCACGTATTCTAGTGTAGATCATCCTCTCCCTGGGAGCAGCAGAGAGCTCTGCCAGCTGCATTCAAGAAGATGAATATGAGATGTGGTTCTCCATTAAGTGTTCTCTAGTTCAGAGTCATTATGGTCCAGACTTGCCCCACTGAAGTGCAGATGCCTCAGTGAGGTGGAAGCTCCCACTGTAACTGGAGTGAGGGAGCTGGCCCAGCTGGGAAAAAGCTTAAATTCAGTTTCTATGAATGTCAAGTTGCGGAAGGAGAATTTGCATTTCACAGTGAGTAGCTCCACAGTCTGTTCCGTTAGTGCCAGCTGCTCCCTTTGTAGTAGAAA